CACCCTTCTCTACCTGGAGGGGAAAGCATTTAGAAGCACATTGAAAAGAGGGAGGTGCATCCATAGCCTCTTGAGGGGAAAAGGTGCCTGGGCATAAATAACTTTATGAGGGGGTGCCTTTCTCAACAGACTTGGCTGCAGCCCTTAAAATAGGTTCCGCCATCCATCAGAACATTAAAAAAAAAAATAATCCCAGCCAGGAAAACAATGTTTTTTAATAGACAAGATCCTTGTGACTAAAATAGATTTATCTTTCCCATAAAGGAAAAAATAAGGATGATCTAACTAGAAAATATATTGTGAGGAGTGTATTTTTTTTACAACAACACTGTCTTTTAAATGATCTATTATTTAGATCAATGTAGGAAAACGATATAGTAGTGTTAATAATGCAATATTATAATTAAGGGAAAAGAGAAAAAAAAAAGAAGCCTGGAAAATTATGTGACAAACAAAAGATCTCCAAACAGTTTGAGCCACAAATGTCTTCCTGTACTTGGCAGACAAATACAGGCAACTGTGTGACTGCTAGTACTCTCTCTCACCTGGAAGACACACTTGAAACAACCATAGAAGGCGTAGAAAGAATAGCTACAGCAGCAGCAAGAAGAAAGAGCAGACAAAGCAGGAGATGGAAATTATCTCTTGCACGCATAATGCAAATGTAAAGCAACAAATTAGGGATTAGAAACTTCCAATGCACCCAGACTTTTATTGATGGGTGTGTCCTGCCGACATTTAAACAGAGCATTAGATGTAGAGTGAACAATTGCTTAGACATTCAAAACAAGTTCTCTGTGATATTTGAATCATCTCAAAATATTGCATGATACTTTGATTAAAAAGTGGCATTTTTGTTTTCAATACCAGGAGAACAGCTGGCCTTTACTTTCATTCTTAATTGCTTTTTTTTCCCCTTCCATTCAATCATATCCGATTTTTGAAGATTGCCTGGACAGGCCCCTGCAGTTTTCTTGGCAAGTTTTTTTCAGAGGTGGCTTGCTATTGCTTCCTTCCTAGGGCAGAAAGAGAATGACTGGCCCAAGGTCACCCACGCGGCTTTATGTCTAAAACAGGACAAGAATTCAGTCTCCTGGTTTCTAGGCGGATGCTTTAACCACTACACCAAAAGGGTTCTCCCTAATTGCTAGCTGTAACAGAATTCACACAGCATCCATTTCTAGCAAGTCCATTAAGTTTACCCACACTGCATTTTTTTTCTCATTCTTCTCTTCTCTGTCCTCTGGAGTTTGTAACTTCTTATTAGATGAAACAGTTCTAGAGCAGTGAAGAGCTTGCATATATTTGTGTACTGGTTTGATGGGATCTATTAAATGTTAATAGGGATTATAATCATAAAAACCTAGAGTTGGAAAGGACCTTAGTTCTTAGTCCGGCACCTGCCCAGTTCAGGAATCAACTTTCTAGACAAATGGCTGCCAAGCTCTTCTGGAAAACCTCCAGTAACAGAGCACCCACAACTTCAGGAGGCAGAGGGTTCCAATGCATTGGGAAACAGTCACAGTCAGGCAATTGCTCCTGAGTTCTAGTTTGGATCCTACATTGAAGGGCTCCCACCTACAGATTCTTGTCTTCCCCTCAGGTGTTAAGGGGAATAAATCTTTTTCCTCTTCTTTGTGACACTCCTTCATGCACAGGAAGACCACTTGCTTTCATGCTCCCCTTAGCTTTCTCTTCTTTAAGCTAAACATCCCTAGTTCTTCTAAATCCTAGGGTTTAGTCTCAAAACTCCTCACCATCTTTGTTGCTCCTCTCTGCACTCTTTCCAGATCAATCCAAGACACCAAAGATGAAATTAACACCCAAATAAATCTATAATGATCTAATCAGGAGTCTACAATCAGAATCGGAGAGATGAAGGTCTTATAAGAAGGCCTTGGCTTTTCAAGCAAAGCATGACCACAAATAAAAATGAGAAAGTTTGAAGTGAAATTATCTCTAAGGCAGATTTTCTTATCAGTTTGGCTGCTTCCTCTGAGGGCAGTACACAAATCACTCTGACAGGCAAGACTAAAATATAGTTGTTCATACACATCCTTCATCATCAGCCAACCTTCAGTGTGCAGTTCTTGATAAAAGAGCTTATTTTAAGTAAATAATGGTTATGGTCTTGATTTAATTACAAGGCTAATATATATATATGCTTGGTTTTATAGGAATCTGGAGTAACTCAGAAGATTTACAGAACATTATTCTTGATAGAGAGCTTGCTCAACCCCTTGCTGTGCAACACACATCTGTTGAATTAAAATGTATTCATTTAAATAGAGGTCTGCAGAACATTTCAATATAAAAATGATTCTTTGCCGAGTTTGAAATTCAAACCACAGTGACTAGATTCATATAACACACTGTAACAAACCATATTAAAAATTAGTGTAGGATTTGAATCTACCCTCTATCTCTTCTAAATTTAAGAGGCAGTATTAGCTGGCTTTACTATGACCCGGAGGAAAAAGATGAAACAATTTTGATAAGGTTACACCAATATTGATTTAGTTAATACCTAAAGGGAAAATGATCCCTTAAATTCTATTGAAGTTTGTATCAATAGGAAGTCCCTAAACTAGACAACTTTACACATATACACATCTAGAAATGTGCTTCATTTCTACAGGCTCAGTTTTCAACTTTTCTTAGTTTAGAAAGTATATTATTTTTGCTCCAAATTATTTTTAAACTCAAAGGGGGCACCCATCTATTTTCATACACCCACAAGACTGAAGAATGTAACAAGCATCTGTCACTCTTATCCTATTGCTCAGGCAACTAAACTTTCTTGGGAAATTTCAAGCAAGTCACAATGATAACAGCCACCCCCCCCTTTTTGCCCCCAGAGTTTGCTAATCAGTGACAGGAGTTTCTCTTTTTCAGAGAACTGAAAGCACTTTTTCAAAGAAGAATGTTTAATCATAGTGTGTGTAATCATCTATCTTTCATCTCTGATAAACAGGTCTTGCCATTGTTTCAATAACTTGCAAAACTCCCTTTGATGAGTGGGCCAAAAAAACCCATATATCTATCAATATCATGGGAAGCAAAAGCTATATCAAACGACTTTCAGTTCCAGATTATTGTCTACCTCCAAGCAGAGTGATTCTAAACATGGATGCCCCATACATAATTATGGATGAATAGCTGTCATTGTACAGGTTTGGGGGGGGCATAGATTTATCAGTAAGAAAAAACCGTTGAAGCCAACAGCAGCTATCGTAACATCCTGTGGCCAGATATTCTATATCCTAGATTAATTACATGTTGCATGAAATATTTCTTTTTGTCTGTCCTCAATCTACTGCCAAACAAATGTTCTGGATGACCCCCAAGTTCTAAATCTTTGAGAGAGTGTGGAATATTCTTTGCCAGCAGAAATCTGAGATATCACAGGCACACCAAGAAATATTCCTGTCTTGTAGGAACTTGTTTTCTGAAACTTACAGCTTCTGCATATGGTGAAAAGAAACTCCAAGATATAGGAAATGTGGAAACATCCAGGGCCAGATGCCTAGGAAAAGAAGGGTTTTAGGAACAATTTACCTGTTTATTAGGAGGCATTTTTTTGAGATTCTAAACTACAGTTTGGATTGGAATGCAGTTTCAGCACTGATTCTAACAAAGATAAATAGAAGAGCATTGTGCTACAACTCAAAATGAGTACAAAAATGAAATGAAACAAAGAATTGTTCCACGTGCGCTACCCTAAAAATTGCATTACACTGTTGTTGCAATTGTAATTTTTAATAACACTATTATTTAAAAAATCAAAGTTACATTACACTGATTGTCTATTAAAATTCCTGCATCCATGCTTTTTTTTTCTTCCTCTTTTGTGCCCAAATGTGCGCACACTCACACAGGCACACAATCAACTATCTTTCTAACCCCAAAAGATTGCCTTATCATATTGCTTCTTGCAAAGCATTTTAAAAGAACAGTCTTTCTGCTTATCATCACATATGTTCTTCTGTGACTATATTCCTATGATAAGAAGGCGCCTCTGCCCAAAAGCACTGGAGGAAAAATACTGTTAAGAACAGTCCACTGTTTCCTGACCCACTTTGGTCAAATCAGAGGAGGAATTCAAGCTCTTCCTCTAAGTTACTCACATATCCAAAGAATCACAAACCCTAATTCTTAACATGCTGCCCCTTTATCTCTTTTTCAGTATCCATTCATTTCTCACTAGAAGGTCCAAGATGGCATCTAGAACCTTTAACAACTTTGGGGGCAAAACTGTCTGAAGTCTACAAAACAACAGCATGTTAATCCAACACAGTGTTTTTCAACCTTGACAACTGAGATGTATGGACTTCAGTTCCCAGAATTCCTCAGCCAGCATGGGTATTGACTTCACACATCTCAAAGTTGCTGAGGTAGAGAAAAACTGATGAAACAAACACATGGTCTTTCCTGTGAGCTAGTGCTGCTTTGCCTCCACTCTACAGAATTCAAGGGTGTGTAGATAATAGCCTTAGTTTTAGCCCTGACAAAGAGAATTATGGCTCTTCGTAGGCTTGCTAAACACTGCCCCCTTCTTTGCCAATACTATTAGTGGTAATTTTCTCCTGGTTGTCAAGCAATCCGTCATTATTATAGAAGAATGCAGCCTTTCCCAACCTGGATACCCTCTCTCTTGGGGACTTCCAAATCCCAGAGTTCTCAACAATGACAGTGCTGGCCAGGATTTGGGGGAACTGAAGTTTATACGTCAGAAGAGCACCCCAATTTGGAAACCCTGATATATTAAGAAGTTCACATCAAAACGATGCTTTCTTTGGCATCATAAAGCCTGGACATCATCTTTGAAGTAAGGAGAAAGGGTGGTTATCTCTCTTTCTCCTTCTTTTCTGACCCTTACTTAGCCTGTGTCCATGATTGATGGAGTAGCTCTTCTTTTTATATATCAGGATCTATCACAAAATGAGCTTACCTGGTGGTGGGAAAGAATGGAAAAGAGACGATTAGCCTTGCCTTATTACCTGCTGAAACATTTACAAATACACATGAATATGGACCGTCCTCCTCTGGGAGAGATTCACAGGATATTGGAAGGTGCCCCTCTTTCCAGTGAGTCCAACACAGATCTTTCAGGGCCTCACAAAATCCCCGGCAGGGCGGTGGTGTGACCGGGAGAGAAGCATTGCACCCAGGTACCAGTAGCAAGCAGAGAAACCACTCCAAGTAGCGGTGACACCGAGATTTAAGAAGCCCCTCCCACTCATGCAAAGCAGCCCAAACTTCCTCCTTGCTGCCGTGGTGCAAATAATTCGGCACTCGGAAATGCTTCGTGCCCAGGTGGTTGCAATACGACAACTTGGTCGGTAAGGGCAAGCACCGGCCAGCTGATGGAGTCAATCCAGGTAAGAAGGAAGGAAGCCCTGAACTGCTATTGCTACGTTGCACAGCGTAGGTTAGTAGGAACTCAAGAGAGTCAGAGTTATTGGCAGGGGGGAAATCCATAACATTAGTTGCATTGGAGTTAGAGACTGAACCTCTAGAATGGTTTGTTTTTGCATGAGCTACTCCTATCCCAAAATGTTTAAAGAAGGGGTGGCTTTTAAAGCTGAGGTGTGCTCCACTGCCTTTGGAGGCAGGCTGGCTGGGATTGGTAACATAAGGCAGCACCCAGTTGTCTAAAGTACCCACCACCTTGGACGGCATTCCTGCATGCAAGCTGCTGCTGCTGCCGCCGCTCCTGCCACTGCTGCTGCTATTGGTGTGGGATTCCTGCAATTTCAAAGCTTTTGCAGTGGGCAAAATCTCTTGTTTTTTTGAGAAAATGCCCCAGGTTGCCCTTGTTGCTGGGGTGAAAGCAACTTCTTGCCCCGCTTCTGAAGGTTCTTGAAAAACCAACATGGTGCCACTGAAATGACCATCAGGTGAAAATGAGAAAGAAGCACTACCTTGCCGTGGCTTCCCAGGTTTCTTCGGGAAGACGCGTGTCTTGTTCCACAGAAGAGCAAAGTCTTTGTTCCACAGACGAGCGAGCTTTGTTGCCCCCCCCTCTGGCTTCTTAGTTTCCAGGGAGGTCTGTATGTCGCCTGTTAAGTTAGCAGTAATGTTGTGGATACTCCCTGGCTCTGTAACAGGGGCAGGTGACGTGCTGGTCTCAGCTGTGGCAGGTACCTTGGTCCTCTCTGTCCTGTTGGTTGTCTTTTCATCCAAAAGCTGAACCAAATTCTGAATGCCTTCAGCCACGCTGAGGATCTCCACTCCCACTCCTGTAATATTTCTTTCTCTGCCTTCTTCCTGCAAAGGAGATGTTGCTGCAGGGACTGGTAAGGTTGCAGTAAAGTCTGGTTGCTTCAGGGTAAATATGGTCCCCACTTTCCCCCTGGGCTCAGGATCAGTAGTATTTTCAAAGAGGGCATTTGGGTTGGTGGTAGCTGCAGGTGTGGAAAGGTCCTGGCTCGTCTCATCTTCAGCCTCGTCAGCTTTCGTGGGAGACAGGGTGGTTTCTCCTGAATCTCTCCAAAACCAATTCCTCCAGCCCTGGGCATTGGCTAAGCAGCAGAAGAGCACCAGCAGAAGCCAAGCATTGACTATTACTCGAGCCATTCAAAAAAGGTTGCTATGGGGAGGTGCGCTGCAGTGAGTGGTGAATGAAGGAATTCACATTGATCTGTCCTCTGGAGTTCTGGGGTTAGGAAGCACGCTGCTCTCGGCCAGGCAGATATACAGTAAAAGGAAGGGAGGTGTGGCTAACCAAGCCCTCCCCTCCAGCCTGTCTCCTATTAAACCAATACTTTTCAAACACAGCCTTTTCAAACACAGCTTTTAACAGAACGAATATACAAGTAGATCTTAAACTGAATTCTTCCACTTTATTTACTATATCCAAGCGATGGAAAAGCATGCCTGGAAGCTAGCAATTTCATAATTTCAGCAGCCTGCTGCTTCCTCTCCTCCACCCAAACCTTAGAGAATATTTGGGCACATTAAGCTCCTCCCTGCCCTGAACCGATTTGAAAACAAAAGGTAGAGATTTTTCTTCCTCCCCTTTCCTAGCTGCTTACATCTTCTTTCTCCAGCCATTAACTTCAGAGCACAGATGCTTTTCTCCAGAGAAATCCCATCTAAGGGAGAAGAGAAGCATCCAAAAACCTGCAGAGGATGAAATATGTTCTGACTCATTCAAGAAAGCATTTTTCACTCACTAGTTTACCTCATAGAGAGAGAGATCCTGCTCAGAAACATGGACATGATCCAGCCACAGCCAATTAGATTTCAGTGCATTTTTGTTAAAAGTCTGTTCTGGGCTGGGCCTGACCACAGATGACTTTATAGCAATCTATGCCAGGGGTGGGCAATTAAGAGAACTTCCATTCCCAGAATTCCCAAGTCAGCCATGCTGCTGGCTCAGGAAATATGGGTTTGGAAGTCCACGGGTCATAAAGTTGCCATATAGATGCTCACCCTCTGATCTATGCAATGTATTTAATAACAGTATGGCAGTGGTTTACCATGTCCTTTTTCTAGGGCATTCTTCAACTTTCCAGTGCAGCTTATTGTCATGGGTTCTTTTTAAAAATTCTACCAAATTAGACTGACCCAGACTCAAAACAGTCACAAAAGCACCAGACTTTGAGACAGGTGTTTTTTTTTTTTTTAAATATCTCTATATAAGGGTTGGGAGATGTTTTATTTTGAAAAAAGCTGAGATATTTTTCAACTTTCCAGTGTAGCTTGGAGCACACGAAACAAGCTTCTATCCCTGCTGAAATAAATAGGATTAAACAGAAACCTACATTTACTCAGGCGATATGCTTAGTTTTCTAAATAAAGAGACTCTCTAATGTCGGGGGATTGACTGTTCTTCTGCCGTCGTGGAATTATCAATAGTATCTAATTAGCCCTTACAAATGCCCAGAAAGTGGGTGAATGTCAAATCCTACATGACAAAAACGTGTTAGACTAACTGCCCTGTCCTGTGTGTAAGTAGTTATTAGGACAAAGTTCTCAATTCTATGCTTCCTTCTGTGGGATTTTTAGAGTCCAAAAAACTTACTTATGTGTAAGTAGAACCAGGACAAGAAACAGATGGGATTCCTGATGCAATAACTTTGAACAAAGCTACTTGAAAGCAGGGATGGGCTGGAAGCCTCACGGCCCAGGAAATGAAATAGTTGAACATGTTTGGTATTGTGCAAGCTCCAATTTGTCTTGGGAAGGTGGGCTATTGTGTGCAAATGTTCCTGAGATGACAAACACCATGCTTCTATTTGAGCAAACCATTCTAGGGTCCGGGCATGCCTAGATCAGCAAAAGGGAAACCCATCTTACCTGCTAAGCATCTGCAAAATGCTTTTATCTTGTTTAGTGTCCTTTCAACTAGCAACGTTATGGGCGTGGAGGTATATAATTTATTTCATCTAAAATTTCTAACCTAATCCACCTCAACACAGCAAAGCAAGCAATACCTTAAAAAGTCTAGACTCTAGAGCATTGGGGAAAACACACACACACACACACAAACACACACACATGAATGCAAACCCAAGCTGGGCTGGAACTATGAAATACTTGTCTCAACAGGTGGCAGAACTTAGCTTCTAAATACAGGCAAGGTTAGCTAAGCAGGATTAGCCACAGTTAGTAATAGATTGGAAGACCACCAGTATCTTCTAATAATTCCTATCCGTGCACAAATGTACACTATACTGTAATCTCCCCCAATTTAGGGCTTCCCAGATGTGTTGAATTTAGCTCCCATCACCCTCAACCAGTGTGGCTTTTGCTGGCTAAGAGCATGGGAGCAGAAAGTCATCAAAGCTCAAGGGTGTGGGATCAAGGAAAGCTGCATCAATTCCCCCTGGACTATTGTCAAAGTCTGCATCTGTTCTCTATAGACCGAAAAAATGGTTGGCATCCTGCGGAATAACCAGCATCCTATAGTTTTCAATGGAAAGCTTCCTTCGATTGATTCAAATGGATATTAATATGTGAAAAAGCTACTTCTCTAGCAGAAACCACTTTTTTTTTTCCTTGTAGCACAGTCTATGCCACAGGGCTAGTATTGTATGCAGCTGTTATCTTAGACATAAAAGAAAGCAATTCTTATTTATGCATATACAGGAGAAAAGGATTCTTAAAAAGTCTGCTATCTATGAATGGAGGATAAACAGACAAAATAATTTCCCATCGACATATTAAGATTGAAAAGAAAATTATTTAAATAATTTTAAAGCAAAACATTAACATCAATATAGAGCGCACATTAAAACCATTTGCAAATATTATTAAAAGCTCAACTTATGAGCTTTGAAGGCTACTTAAGGACCTCCAAAGAAGGTCAGCCTCTGGTATTTACAGAGAGTCCATTCTGCAACCCTAACCCTAACTCTAACCTAGAAGAGTAAATGAGAAGATCAGATGAGCTGATGGCACCTAAAGACAAACCTATTCTAATGACCTTGGGGAGGCCCTATGGATCAGGTAAAGAAAGAATTGCTCTCCCATAACAGACAATTCACTGAATCATACTAGGCTGTGATATCTTAAAAATCCTAGGGTGCCGTGGGACATATCCATGGCCATGCTGGCTACTGCATGTACCAGGTTGGAAATTAGAGTCTAACGCCTTGGATAGTCCCAAGCAACAGGTGTTCATCAGACATTCTTCCAAATCTTCCTTCCACCAAATCACTGGGCTTTGCCCCTGATTCCAACTCCAAGCCCTGGCCAAGTGCCAGGATTTTTTAACTATGACATATGGATGTTCCGAGTTTGCTTGAATGGGCAAACTTTTCTGAGGATTGAATAAAGTGAATGTTAAGACAGCTGTGCAATCAAAGATGAACTGTTTTGTAGCCAAATCCTCCCATTTTAACAAATTTTTATGCATGCAAACCAAATGTGAACAGTTTATTCTGAACAGAGAAATTTATTTTTCCATTAGAGAAGGGGGGAGAGTTTAAAACAAACCTAAGACCCCATTTAAGTGACTCAACTGGGCATTTCATCTATTAATACTTCTTTGAGATTCTGAAAAAGAACTGTATGTTATGGCAACTACTACATGAAAGATTTTCAAGGAACCAAGTAAGTTCAAAAGCAAAACATAACACTTCACCTTAAAATGAGTCAGGCTCAACCCCATTACTCATTTCTCAGATTTTCCACTGCTTTTGCAAATACATGGTAAAAGAACAAGAGAAACCTTCTGCTGCAGTACAATTGCGGCCAGGTTTAAGAGAGAATTGGGCTCCTGAGGTTTATCAATCATTGTGAAAAGGGGGATTTCAGAAAATATATATCAGGTGGCAAGCTATGCGTGCTGAAATTCCTTGTTTTACATACAGACAATGAAAAGTACATGAATTTTGCCCACCTTTAAAAAGGGTGCAATAGTAACCCAGAATCTTGAATAGTGTGGGGATAATCTACCACCCCCACACTTCCAACTACCATCCTACATTTTCAAATTATTTTTGTTACCTTTTGAACAGACTAAATATTTTGTCAACTACTAGCTTTTATCTGGCTCTTCCAAATAGAGATGTGACTCAGACGTTCAAGAGAAAGAACTGCTGTATATTCCCACAATACTTCCTTTAATCAAGTTATGGAATCCTGAGTAAAACCATTATCTTTACATTTCATTAATTTTATGACAATTTGCCTGTCCCTTGGTGGCGGGGAAGCATGAATTACTAAAAAGTGCTTAAGCCTGGAGCAGAGGGATTCCTCCTCCAGTTCCTGAATATGGTTTTGAAGAGAGGTAGCTTCCAATATCAACAGGGGGCATAGTCTTGTAGCCCTAAGATTTGTAATTCAATATAGACACTACATAAATACCT